GAAATTGTCCTTTTGGAACAATGTTTGGAACAACTAGAACAATTTATCGCGATAATGAATTTTTCGAATATTAAGAAAAGGGGTGCCGGATAAGAAAATGTTTTTTTGTTTTCTGCCATTTCTGTTCGTCGTATGGAATTGTTCTTTTGGAACAATGTTTAGAACAACTAGAACAATCTGTAGCGAAAAAAAATTGTTTGATATTCCAAAAAAGGGGGGCTAGCAAAAAAAATTCGTTTTTTCCTTTTATTGGAGAACGATTTGGAATAAGATGATATCGCTTTGGAACAATGTAGAGCAAACTCAGAACAATCTGGAACAATTGTCAAAATTTTAATTTTCAAAAAAAGGGAGGCTAACTTTACATACATTTCGTCACGTCACTCCTCACGTCGTGATGTCACGAGCTTACACACACATGCACCTGTGGGGATGGGGGCCGGGGAGGAAAACTGCGAGAGGTGGTGGGAGGTAAAAGCAGCTCGCTCATTGGCTGCCCCCTCCCGCACCACAGTACCCCTCTCGTCCAGTTTTCCCCCCGGCCCCTCACCCCACGGGGTATCCCATGGGCGAGGATATACCTTGCTTTACTACTGAGGACACATTGAACTTTTATTGTAAATTTAAGTTATTTTCTATTTTTCACAGAAGAAAATGCTTCATAACTCAGAAATAAAAAGTTTTTGGCATACTGTTCATTAAGACTTTTTGATTTGTTTTAATGAGTACTACATACCCCTAAAATTTGGTACCACCTTTTGGGAACACCCTGTATAAGCTAGTTTTTTAAACAAAAGGTATTTACGGCAAATGACAAAAAATTAATTTTTGAGCTGAAATTTTAAATAATGTTTAATAAAGCACCTAATATTTTTGGCTAATAAGGCTGGACGTATTATAAGCATATATTTAATGCATTTAACACGTATAAAAACACAAAAATAACCTGCAAACTGCGTAGTTTGCACGAAGAAAATATCCGTGAAAACCTTAAAAGTATATCGTTACATATACAGAGTGTCCCAAAAAGATCGGGACACCTAAATATCTCGGGAAATATAAGTTTTACAGAAAAGTGTTTCAGACAAAAGTTATATGATTTAAAAATATCTATTTACTGATCCTATCAGTTTGACCTTGGGTTGAATAGCCAAGGTCAGGTCAAGGTTACATTGATTTTCTTAAATGAAACACCCTATTTTTGATTCAAAACTCTAATAGCTGATGTCGAGAGTTATCCAAAACGCTATAATAAAATATTTTTTTTTTTTAAGTACTTTTCAAGTTATAATGCTTCAAAGTTACAGTATCGCCGGTACTAATAGGATCAGTAAATAGATATTTTTAAACCATATAACTTTTGTCTGAAACACTTTTCTGTGAAACTTATATTTCCCGAGATATTTATGCGTCCCGACCTTTTTGGGACACCTTGTATATCTAGGAGAAGAAATATTCAGGAAAAAAAATATGCAAGATATATACACAATTCAATTCTAAATTCTTTTCGTAATTGAAAATTCGTTGACAAATGCAACTACAGATAAGTATAGATACACAGTATGAAAACATATTATACAGCATCATTATTAGACGAATGAAATGCGAATTTGCGAAAGAAAATGTTTTTCATTTTATTGTAAATCCGCATATTTCAATCTGCACAAAATACATTGTCGATGCACTCGCATGTATTAAATGTTATAAATCCTTTAGAGTTCTTTACCTACATCATTACTTGTTAACCGGCATTATACATACACACACATATACACTACTCAACAAAATTAAAGGATCACTTGTTCCATCCTGCAATAATAGGTAAACTTCAAGATAGAATAACTTCGTCAAAAATTATCGTATCGAGATTTTTAAAAAAGCATTCTAAAGCCTGAAATCTCTACTTTTCAAACCTGTACTTTAAAAAACCGTATTACTCATATTTCATAAAGTTACAGAGACATAAATGAAGATGCATCAGATCTCAAAATTTTTTACGAAATTTGCGAAGTTCCACGGAGCTAAATAAAAATTATACAGAAATGCGGTTTACATGCTTCGAAAGAGTGAATCTTTACCTTCGATTTCTTTTTCTATGAAACTTCGTACGATTTTTTTTCACCGAGTTATTCAACGTTGAAGCAAGAACGACCCTTTTTATTCAATGTTGAATAACTCGGTGAAAAAAAATCGTACAGAAATCTATAAAAAAACAAATTTGAAGGTAAAGATTTACGCTTTCGATTGCTGTAAACCGCATTTTTGTGTGATCTTTACTTCACGCCATAGACATTTGTAAAATTAGTACAAAATTTTCACATATGACGGATATCCATTTGTGTCCGTATAGCTCCATAAAGGATCAGTCGGATTGAAATACCAATTACCGATTTCGAAAGTAAAGATTTCAACCTTTAAAATGCATTTTTTAAAATTTCGTTACAATCATTATTTACGAAATCATTCTATTTTGAAGTTAAAGGATCATTTAGAATTAGCTTCAAAAGGGTCAAAATCAAGGTTTACGTATCTCTGCGAAAAATGATTACAAAGCAATGTTTGAAATAAGCGTTTTAAAGCTTAAATAACTTCTGAATGCTTTAAATCATTTTTGTATGCAAAAACTTTATTATAAGTCATTATCTTCAATTTGCTTTTTTTATTCAACATTGAATAAAAACGACCCTTTTTGCTTCGACGTTGAATAACTCGGAAAAAAAATCGTACGAAGCTTCATAAAAAAATTAATTGAAGGTAAAGATTCACTCTTTCGAAAGATGTAAACCGCATTTGTGTACAATTTTTACTTGGCTCCATGGAATTTCGCAAATTTCGTAAAAAATGTTGAGATCTGATGCATCTTCATTTATGTTTGTGTAACTTTATGAAATATGAGCAGGGTTGAGTAGTGCTAAATTAAAAAGTTAAAAGTTCAGTTAAAAAGTTAAAAAGTTAATTAATTTTAACTTAACTTAGTTATATTTTAGACTCCTAACTTTTTAACTTTATTTAGTTACATTTTATCGGTAACTAATAACTTTTTATTAATTTTTTTAAAGTTAAGTGTTAGACACAATA